CTAGATAACTCCTGTTATCTTTGATTGCATATAAACAAATTAGAAAAAAAAAAACTCAAATAATACTAAATACAGCTCAACATGTAAAAAAAACATCAGATCAACATAGAAAATTACCAATTCTCTTTACATACGAAAAAGTATTAAAATATTATTTATTTTATTTGATTATTAATTAGGAGATATATTCCAAAATTTAATGTTTTTCATGCTCTGGAAATTTGGGAAGTCATGTTCCTTTTAGTTCACATATGATGTACGTATTCCAAGGGTCACTATCATCTAATGCAAATCCCCCTCTGATGAAAATCCCTCAGCAGGGATCAACTAATGCTTAAAAACACTAAATCCTTAAAAAAAAAACTTGATCAGAGGAGAATCATGTTCTGCAAAGACTATACTGCCTCTATGATTGATTACCTTTCCATGATCACCGGTTAAAGATTTTGAACACACAAAATTCTTTTCAATTCTTAGAAAAAGCAGCAGAGTACGCTACCTCCAATCTCTTAAACAGTAAAGTGTTCTTATTAAACCTTTAAGTCTTCAGAACTCATCACGCTTAATTTACATTTCCTTTAGGAAAGTTTTGGGAAAAAATATTGGGTCTACCGAGGAGGAGTTTATCCCGTGGATTACACAAACACCAATCATATCTGAGCGAGTTATATAAGGCATCAACACTACTCTCTATCCAAAACCTTAAGGCAATGGATTAATGGGTCTTTCATCTTTATATATTGCTCTACTTTCTTATTTCTATTCGGGACTTAGACTCACACTTGGATACCCAACAAAAAATCGTAAAAAAAAGTGAAAGAAGAACCATTATAACTTTTGCATCCTTGTATTAGAAATTTAAAGTGCTTTCTTCAAAGCCACATATTTCAAGTTGAGGAGGTTGTAAATACGGAAAAAATGACGAACACAACTTGATTTCTGAAGCGTGTAAATATAGTGTCCTTAAAATCGTAAATACGAACACAACCTGACTTTTTATATACGAAGAAATTTCTCTTCCTTTTTAAAAGTTGGGTTAAACGAAAATTGTTTTTCTTTTTATGATTAGGTTTGTTTGGTGGGTATCCAAATGTGAGTCCAAGTCCTACATTGGATAGAAATGAGAAAGTAGAACAATATATAAAGATGAAAGACTCATTAACCCATTAACTTAAGGTTTTGGGTAAAGAGTGGTGTCGATCCCTTATATAGTTGGCTCAAATGTTATTGGTGTTTGTGTAACTCACAGGAAACCCCCTCCTCAATAGACCCAACATTGCTTTCTTACATTATTTGTTTCTTTATACAAAGTTTTGGTCTTTATAGTAACACTTTTTTTTGGTATCTTCAATGATAGTGTGTAATAAGTTTTATAAACGACATTTATTTGTGTTTGTGTTTTAATAGTTGTTTGTAATTTGTTTAAGATAACGATAATTTCTCAATAGAAAGTTCGGAAACAAACTTATTAGGTAGAAGTATGCTTTTTGTTTTGATATTTTCAAGCAACTTGTAGTACTTGTTGATTTGGGTTTTTATGTCCTTATCTTTAATCATTTCTTAGCAGTAGTAGTTATCTATGACGAATTATCTAACGATATTTTCTGCAATATATTTGAAAATCAATGAATCCCAAACATTTTTCGTTTTCTTATAGAATAGTACACACCAAACAAATAATTAGACACCAACTAAGTAAAGTGTTTCAACATATCTTGTTCACATGAATCCATTCTTCATCTTGTTTTGAAAGAATACTAGAGTCGGTATGTCTAAGAGGATAGACACACATTATTGTGAGTGTCGAAAGTTTTGCCTAGAGAAAATCTCAATTTTTAACACATTTTAAAACAATTTTGCAAAAAGTGTCTATGTATGGAAATAATATTTTGATTCTCCAAATTTGGATTGTTCTTGTGAACAATAAGTTCTAACAAAAAAACATGAACAAAACTTAATTTCTAAGACATGTAAATTCACTACCAAGACTCTTATTTTATGTGCAACTCTTCTAAAATATTACTGAAACTTCCTAACTTTTTCGACAATATTCAAACTACCAAAAAAAGCTCTAAAAAGAATAAATTAATACACCAGAATAATAATTCGAGAAAAGGGGAAAGAAGATGGGAGAACGAGAGAGAGAAAGTGTGTTAAGCCAAATAGTATATATTTATAGATGGAGGAGAAGGATTGTCATAGAAGAAGATACATATCCCATGACTCGCAAAAGAGGTAAACGATGTTTAAAACCACATCTTGTGGTTAAAAAGGCTTGTTCCTATAAAATAGGGCCAATTGCAATAAGTTCCATCGCCAAATTTATTGCCACAAGTTCAACCAACAAATTTGAAAAAAAATACATATTTTGCAATATATTTATAACACAATTTTTGCAACAGAGAAACCCTGCTAATTGACATATATACCCAAGGAAAAAAAAAAGTTAAAACATAATTTCTTTTTATAGTTTCGACCTTGATTATTTTCACATGAAAAAAAAAAGAAGTAAAAAAACAAGAATATTAGAAATAAATGTAGTCGAAAATGGGACAACGAAGTTATTATTCAGCATGTGACATAGGGCTAATTTTTCATATTGCAAAACAAACCGCCAACAATAGTATAACCTCTAACTAAAAGAAAACTAAAATTTGAAACTTGTGGCTCTAATTTAGTTGACGGTATAAGGTGAAGAGTTATTACATTTTTTTTATAATTTCCCGTCAATAGTTTGTCAACACTGAGAACATAAAATTGATCATGGGCTTCCAAAAGTTCTGCGTATATATGTATTCATTATTCAATTATTGAGGCAACGTTGTTATGAATTGAAAGAGACAAAATCTTATTCTTAAAATAATATAGCATCTATTGACTAAAATACAAGAACCCTAGTCATGTAATTAATGATATATGCAAAAGTATACTTTTATTACATATTATCAGACTAAAATTTCTAGAACTAATTACAATTCAAAACTTATATACAATTTTAAAATGATTATGGGAATCAACGATTTTATTTAACAACTTAAAGTGCATGGAGACATATATTGGTAACAAATTTGCAAACAAATTATGATGAATTACTGGAATTCTTGTCCCCTCTCACTGAAGGAAAGCAAGAAGTGAATAACCAAAAGTTATTTTCTTGATTAGTTTTTTTTTTTCTTTTTTTGATAAAGTATAATATTGCAAACTAATAATTCTTTTATTCCTTCTGATTTTTTGTACTATTTAAAAATGTTATGATGATAATCTTTATACATTATACTCCATTAATAGTTAAAAAAATTCCATTGAACAATATTGCGAAGAAAACTATACTGTAAATATAAAAAAAAAAAGGTGTAATATAAAATAATTTAAAAACAATATAATATAGGGTTTACTCTTTCTTTATTTAACAGCACAAAAACATACATTAATAAAGAAAAAAAGCAAGAAGGTTCGAGGACCATGATCTGAACAGGACATTAGTGATCCATCTTACCAGTGGCTCTTGGCATTGCCAGATCACAATGATGAAGAAAAACTCTATATGCTTACTATAAAATGGTTTTACAAGGCAAAGATATCGCAAATAATTTGTTCTTTTTAATTCTATCCCTAACAAGTCATTGGAACTAGACAAGGAATTGAATTAAATTAACTCATGTTAGGTACCATTACTAAAAAAACAAAAGCTATACGAATATTTAATTTGTCTTATGTGATAACAACTTTGCATGTCTATATAACTAATGAGAGTAGTTTATTAACCATTATAATGTTAAGTGCATGGCTTTAAATTTCTTTGTTTTTATAGCCACTAAAACAAAAATTTGAAATTCCTTCTTTTAGTTCTAGATCAGTAAAATACCTTTTTTTTCTCACAATTTTTTATTTTAGATTAAATATGTTTTTATCCTAAACTTAAATATAAAATTGTAATTTATTTTTATCTCAAACTTTGATATTGGTTTTTAAACTTAAAAGTGAATAAATATAATTATTTTAGCATAACTCTAAACTTTTATAACGTGTTAAACAACATACGTTTGAAAACTTTTTATACCATTTGATATATTATCACTCAAACGTAATTCTGAATTATTATTTAACATATATAAAAAAATTACCATCTTTAATTAGAACGACTATATTCATATAATTTTATATCTAAGAAACTAAAAATATATTAGCTCCTTTAATCTTTTATAAGCATACATTTTGTGAATTTATTTTGTTGTCATCAAATCGTTTTCTTTCAGTTCTTACCCTCGTCCTTTATCCTTTTTCAGTAAAATTACCTAATTTTTATTCTATCTATTTCCTTCGATTCTACAATTGATTTTATCTCGTTCTTTAATATAAAGAACCTGTTCCTACAATCAAGAGTATATGGCTTAGTTATTCATGGTCTCGTTCTATCATATAGATAAATTATTCAAATGAATTGGTGGACAGCCATAGGGCAACCATATTCTAATGAATTGATTTGGGAAGAAATTCGATGGTAATGGTTAGAAAAACCAGGTTTATCTAATCGTGGATATATTTTTCAAAACTATGTTTCGTTTGGTTATAATAAACTACTGTTATGAAAATTCAAAACGACTATTTTAGTACAATCACCATCAATGCATAACAAACATATCGGAATTTGACACTGGAATTAAAACTAGGCGAATTCTCTGTACCTTGCCAAATCGAATTTCATCTCTTGTATATATTATAGGAGCATGTGCAACTCACTGGAAAAATGGAACAGTGGGCCATGCAATGCGTGGTGAGAGGCGTGCCAGCAAGGACGCTACCATTGTCTGTTGCTCCGATCATAGCCTTCCAACTAAGTCTCCTTCAAACCAATTCATGAATCAAAAGGATTGGACGGCCAAAAAGATAAGAAATCACAACATCATTAGGCCCCACCAGCCACCCCCACTCACCCTCAATTTCTAATTTTATTTTCTCTTCCATCTTTACACTGAGTGCATATAAATAATCCCAAGAACACATCATCATCATCATCACCACAACCACAGGTTGGAGAAAGATAGAGTGAGCAAAAAAATGGAGGGAAAGGAGCAAGATGTTTCATTGGGAGCGAACAAATTCTCAGAGAGGCAACCCATCGGGACTGCGGCTCAGAGCCAAGACGATGGAAAGGACTACCAAGAGCCTCCGTCGGCTCCACTATTCGAACCCTCCGAACTCGCTTCTTGGTCCTTCTACAGAGCTGGAATAGCCGAGTTTGTGGCTACTTTTCTTTTCCTCTACATAACTATCTTAACCGTCATGGGTGTCAATAGGTCCGATTCCAAGTGCGCAACCGTTGGCATTCAAGGCATTGCCTGGGCCTTCGGTGGTATGATCTTCGCTCTCGTTTACTGCACCGCTGGAATCTCAGGTAAAAACACTTCCTCTCTTCCTTATACACATATGCTGTTATAATTATATATATATATATATATATATATATATACATTAATTAATAATAATCGCTGTGGTTTGTGTTGGTGTGTGATGATGCAGGGGGACACATAAACCCGGCTGTGACATTCGGACTCTTCTTGGCGAGGAAATTGTCGTTGACTAGGGCACTGTTCTACATGGTGATGCAGGTTCTGGGTGCTATCGTTGGTGCTGGTGTGGTCAAAGGTTTCGAGGGAAAAACCTTCTTCGGGAAACACAACGGTGGTGCCAACTTCGTTGCCTCTGGTTACACCAAAGGTGATGGACTCGGTGCTGAGATTGTTGGTACCTTCGTTCTCGTCTACACTGTTTTCTCAGCCACTGACGCCAAGCGTAACGCTAGAGACTCACACGTTCCTGTGTGTGCCCTACTTTTATTATTCATGAAAAAAAATATATTAATTCATAAATATTTTACCACAAAACAAGAAATACACTTGCTAATATATAATGTTGGTGGAATGATCAGATTTTGGCACCCTTGCCCATTGGATTCGCTGTGTTCTTGGTGCACTTGGCCACCATCCCAATCACTGGCACCGGTATCAACCCTGCTCGAAGTCTCGGTGCTGCCATCATTTTCAACAAAGATCTTGGCTGGGATGATCACGTATGTTATATTTCTCTTTAAATTTTGAAATATATTATTATCAAATTTTGGAATTTACAGGAAGTTAGTGAGGTAATGCATTCTTCTAATTAACCCCTTTCGCATTTTTTGTTGCACAGTGGATTTTCTGGGTTGGACCCTTCGTTGGAGCTGCTCTTGCGGCTCTGTACCACCAAGTCGTAATCAGAGCCATTCCCTTCAAATCCAATTAATGCGATAAAAGTTTGTGATCGCTGGGTCAAAAGACCCAAAGCAAAGCAAAGTTTGTGGTCTAATTTTATTTTATCTGTTATTTTCCTTTTTACTGTTGTTAAACCTTGTCCTTTGTAAAGAATGTGATGTTAACGAGTAGGGGTGGATGTGTTGGGTGATTGGTCACTTTTCCTCTACTTTTAAGTTGGAAGATGACTATGAGAGATGTGTGCTGTAATTGCTTATCAAATAAAAAGCAACTTCTTTTCCTTGAGAATGTTTTGTCCCTCTTAGTTTGGCATCTTTCAATGAGTATATGCTCAAATTTCATAGTGCTACGGCTTGAATTATGCACACTAGTATTATTGCTTTCTTAAGATGGCTGGGTGACTATGCCTACAACTCAGCAATCTCAATTGATAAACCACACCACACGTAGTTAAAAAATAATTAGGAAAAGTATGACTTCATTTCTAATTTAAAAGTGAAAATGCTTTGGGAACAAAACCTTATATTTTCCTAGTCAACCAATCCTCTTACTCATAGCATTTCTTTCATTTACATGCCGTAGCAACAGCTAAATAAAAGCTGCAAAATTATAAACACACATCTTTTAATTTTTCTACACCTATTTAGCACCTCATAAAATATTAATATTTTAATTTTATAACTTCATTCATCTCCAATTATTTAATATTTTAAAACAAAATGTTCCTTTTGTAGATGCTAAAAATAGGCGTGGAGCTGAAAATGTATCATAAGCCAAGATGCGGGGATGGATTCTGAATTTTTTTTTCTGAAAAAAATTACCGTATTAAATAAAATTTGGGAAGGTTAATTTTCATACAAAATCTTATAAATTTACAAAAAAATATTAAAAAATTGTATCATTAATGTGAGAGCTAAGAGATTTAAAGAAAATTACAGCAGGACAGGTGTATGCACTGGATTGGACCGTTCAGAGTGATATATAAATGAAAGTTTTAAATTTCCTTCCATTATCTGCATACAGTCTCTCTTTCCAAAATTCTAATCTTCTCTTTTCTCCTCCTTCTTTCTAAAAATTTTCATCAATTGATCATTTGTTCTACGTTCAGGAGGAGTTTAAGTGATCCTTGAGTTGAAAGATTTATTGTCAAACAATTAGTTCAGTGATTTAAGTCAGTAAGTTTCATTTTCTCTGTTTAGTGTTTCGGTTTTCTGGTGCATGCAAAGGAAATTCTGTTGCATGTGTTCATCAACTTCTTCTTCTCAATTTTGATCATGTTCTTGGCCTTTTGGTTTATCTCTTCTTTTCAATTGGTGATCTTTAGGTGTTATTAGATTTTCTTGAAGTTCAAACAATTTTTCTGAGGTGTAAAAGTTTTTTGTTCAATCAAGAGACAAGGAAAACTAGTTAATTTAATTGTGATTTTCTATGTATGAAATTATTGTTTGGATTGTTGCATGTGTATAACTTGAATGTTTGATTGAATTGGGTTGAATTTGTGAATGCTAGAACCTGTGAACTAGTTGGAGTTTCTGTGCATAATGTTTGGTCTGTTTTAATCTTTAGGAAGTGGGTATGCGAAAATGAGAGTTTGGGGTTGGGAGTGAAATCCGATATGAGACTCTTTGGAATGATGTTAAAACGATTTTAGGTACCTTTGAATAGGCGTAAATGAGTATATGAATCATGTTTGAAGGATTAGAAGTTGGGAAGTGGTAGTAATTGGTGAAGATAGTTGTTGATCATAATTCTGCAGTTATTTTGCAGAATTATGCAGATCGCCGAGTGTCATTCATTGACCGTTCGACTTTCTTCTTGTGTTTGGCCTTAATTGAGTTATACTTTTGTAGAGCTTTTCAGTTAATGACTGATTGGTCTTGTACTAGTATTCTGTTTAGTCATAACGATCGATCTTAGTGGGGTGTGTGGCCTCTTTGTAGCGATCGGTCTCGTACTAGAGCTTGGTCTGGTACTAGTGCTTAGTCTTGTACTAGTGCTCGGTCTCGTACTTTTATTCAGTCTTAAATGCGTTCAGCCTCTCATGAGCCTTACCTATTAAGGACCGTTCTGTGATATTTTAGAAATCGGTCCTATATTAGTATTCGGTATCAACTCTAAGCGTTCGTCCAAAGTTATAGGTGTTCGGCCTAAGCCATAAACGTTTGGTCTCCAACGTTCACAGGAGGTTCGGTTTTACATGAGATTTTCAATTGTGGTTTAAGAACTTAATAAATTTAGTTATATGAATCTTTTGTGCATAAGTGATGGTGTGGTTATTTTATTAAGGTATTATGTTTCAATTGGTATGAAAGAGAATTTCAAGGAGGGATATCTCGGTGCTGGTTATCAAGTTGGTAAAGTATGAATATGGACAACGAAATCCACGACGTTCATCACGAAATTTTGATGATTACCAATTCTCAAGTAGAGATGGGTAATGCATTGTGTGAGAATGTCAGGAGGTCCTAGCCTATAGGGTCTTAGGTGAGTTATAACGGATTAACCTCGGGTGGCAGCTGATGGTTTTTCAGTTACTACACTCCCGGTTGCACGAACAACCTCAAGCTACATATTCATACAATCCGGATGGTCAAGTCAAATGTTCGGTCATGTTTTTTTGTAATGTATGGTCGTTCATTTTATGTTGTAAAGTGTTCGATTGACATATGCTTATGTATGTTGTTTAATTTGCATGATAATTGTAATCAATTAATTTACTCTAGCTTACCCTTCTTTTCTATCTTGTTCATGTTTCTTGTTCGGTATTCTTTATTTGCAATGATCACCTTGTGGGTGAGTAGAGGGAGACGAGTGTTCGCTGGAGAAAGCGTTGGACGACGAGGACCCAATGGTGTAGTCTATGACCGTTCGGTCATATAAATATAGTATATATAGACCGCTCGATCATGTATATAGTTTTGCAGCTAAGGTAAATTTTTGTAAAGTTTGAATTTATAGTTATTTTGTGAATAACTATAAATTAACTTCATTTCTAGAAACCGTTCTACAATATTATGATGTGATTACTCTTAGACATATAGTTTTGACTATATTAAAACATATTAAAAGTAAAAATATTTTATCTGTATGATTTCATTATTATATAATGGGAATTCTCTATTTTATTATACACAATTTTTTTTACACTTTAATTAACTACTTTTAAATTAAAATAATTATATACTACCTTTTTTATATTTTAAGTGACGGTTAATTTTTATTTTTTAAGTGACTGTTAATTTAACTATTCTCTTAAAAATTTATTCTTTAACTAACAGTTTTTATAAAATAAAATAATTATTTTACCATTTTTATCTTAATTAAATTAAAATTATATTATCATTTTACCCTTTTAAATAATTGTTTATTTAAATTTGATTATTTTTTTTAAATTAAATTAATTACTTGTTAAGATATTGATAATTGTACTATATCCTATAATTAACAATTTGAAAAGTACAGATATCATTTTCTTGATATACTTATGCAACACTTTGAAAACTCTTATAATTCAACATAATGACTCAATTAGATAAAAGAATTCACAAAAACATAATTTTTTTATATCAAACAATTGGTGTGTAATGAAAATTTAATATATTATATTTACAAATATCTTTTCATTCACTTTATTCTTATGCGTTTATAATCCTCTTAATTCCAATTTTAAAATATAAATAAAAAATATAAAATTTTTAAATACTTAATATAATATTTTTCTCTTTTACAAACTCATTCAATTCAAAATACTTAAATTTGTGAACAAATTAAAATTTATTAAGTATTTATTTGATTTTTAACATAAAGACACCTAAATAGTTATTATGGAAATTAATAATCTATTTACCTTAACTAATGATAAAATCAAATTATAAACTCAATTGAAAAATATAAAATATTAATATTTAATAAAAGAATTATTTTATATACTAGAATAATTTTATTTAGCAAACTCAATCAATTCAAAATATTTAAATTTATGAAAAATTTAAAATTTATTGAGTATTTACTAGTTTTTTTTACAACAAGACACCTAAATAATTATTCTGCAAATTAACAATCAAATTACCGTACCTAATGATAAAATATAATCATAAATATTGAACTGAAAAATATAAAAATTTAAATATGTAAGAATTTTTTTTGTAAGAATTAAATTAAAAATATTCAAATCTATTAAAATTTTAAAGAATAATAATTTTTTTATTTATATTTTATTTAAAATCAATATTCAAAATTATTAGTATTTTAAATTTAATAAAATTCGAACGAAGCTAAAAGAAAATTATCAATGATTAAGTTGATTGAGTACTAAATTTCTGATTTACATAATGCAATGAAGCCAACTGTTATATATATATATATATATATATATATATATGGGATTTTTTTTTAATTGTAACTATTTTCTAAAAAATGATGTTTATAATAAAATTTACTATAAAATAATAAAAATATTTTTGTAATTATATTAATTTTAATTATAATTTTATTATTATATATTATTAAAAAAAATTCTTATATATTTTTACTAATATATTATAATGGATAAAATTTGTTGGTATAAAGAACATTCATATATATTATACTTTAAGATAATATAAATAGTATTGCAGTTTAGTACAGAAATTTCATTTCCATTCATTTAATTTAGTTAAGATATTTTATCACATGTTTAGTATTAATTATTATCATCATATTTGTTAAAGTAAGAATATACAATAATTTTGAAATAGCTACTACAAATTTAAATTAACAAATAAAAAAATTGAAGTTGTTTATATAAACACTATATTTGATATTCTACTAAAAATGAAATATGTTAATGTGTATTGTAATTAAACCACTATCTATTTATTATAATGTGTATTATTTGATTGTTGTATATTCCAATACAGACAATTATTGCTTATCAATCATATGCAAATTTTTATAAAAAAATGTATTATTTATTTTTCTTAAGAAAGAAAAATTATATATTTTCACTATAATTAATTTAATTTATTTGGTTTATAACTTATATATTTTCTTATAAAATATTAGTGTATAAGTAAGTTT